AAAAAAAATCAGTAGCCCCCCTATATACAAATGATAAATGGGCTGAGAAAGAAATCAGAGAAACATCACCCTTTACAATAGCCACAAGTAATATATCTTGGGGTAACTCTAACCAAGTAAGTGAAAGACCTGTATGACAAGAACTTAAAGTCGTTGAAGAAAGAAATTGAAGAAGAAAGCAGAAAATAGACCTTTCATGCTCTTGGATAGGTAGAATTAATAGTAAAAATGGCAGTCTTACCAAAAGCAATCTACAGATTTAATACAGTCTCCACCAAAATCCCAACACAATTCTTTACAGACATCGAGAGAACAATACTCAACTTCATATGGAAAAACAAAAAACCCAGGATAGCCAATACAATCCTTTACAATAAAGGAACTTCTGGAGGCATCACCATCCCTGACTTCAAGCTCTACTATAGAGCTAGAGTAATAAAAACAGCTTGGTGCTGGCATAAAAACAGACATGGATCAATGGAATCGAATCAAAGACCCTGACAAATCCACACACCTATGAACAGCTGTTTTGTGAAAAAGCCACCCAAATTACACAAAACATCGTCAACAAATGGTGCTGGCGTAACTGGATGTCAACATGTAGAAGGCTGCAAATAGATCCATATCTATCACCATTCACAAAACTGAAGTCCAAGTGGATCAAAGACCTCAACATAAATCCATTTAAACTGAACCCGATAGAAGAGAAAGTGGAAGTAGCCTTGAACGCATTGGCACAGGAGACCACTTCCTAAATATAACACCAGTAGCACAGACACTGAGATCGACAATTAATAAATGGGACCTGCTAAAACTGAGAAGCTTCTGTAAGGCAAAGGACACAGTAAGACAAAATGACAGCCCACAGAAATGGGAAAAGATCTTCACCAACCCCACGTCTAACAGAGGGCCGATCTCCAAAATATATAAAGAACTCAAACTAGACATCAAAATATCAAATAATCCGATTTAAAAATGGGGTACAGAGCTAAACAAAATTCTCAACAGAAGAATCTCAAATGGCGAAAAGACATTTCAAGGATTGCTCAACTTCCTTAGTCATCAGGGAAATGCAAATCAAAATGACTCTGAGATACCATCTCAAACCTGTCAGAATGGCTAAGATCAAAAATACTGATGACAGCTTATGTTGGAGAGGATGTGGAGCAAGGGGAATACTCTTCCACTGCTGGTGGGAGTGCAAACTTGTATAGCCACTGTGGAAATCAGTATGGTAGTTTTTCAGAAAATTGGCAATCAATCTACCTCAAGATCCAGCAATACCACTCTTGGGCATATACCCAAAGGATACTCCATCATACCACAAAGACACTTGCACTACTATGTTCGTAGCAGCATTATACATAATAGCCAGAACCTGGAAACAACCTAGATGCCCCTCAACTGAAGAATGGATAAAGAAAATTTGGAACATTTACACAGTGGAGAATTACTCAGTGGTTAAAAAAAAAAAAAAAATGGCATCATGAAATCTACAGGCAAATGGATGGAACTAGAAAAAAAATCATCCTAAGTGAGATAGATAACCTAGACCCAGAAAGACAAACACAATATGCCCTCAGTCATAAGTGGGTAGTAGATGTAAAGCAAAGGATAACCATCTACAACCCATAGTCCTAGAGAAACTAGGTAACAAGGAGGACTCTAAGAGGGATGCTTAGATCACCTTGAGAAGGGGAAATAGGGGCTGGAGAGATGGCTCAGAGGTTAAGAGCACTGGCTGCTCTTCCAAAGGTCCTGAGTTCAATTCCCAGCAACCACATGGTGGCTCACAACCATCTGTAATGAGATCTGGTGCCCTCTTCTGGCTGCAGGCATACCTGCAGGCAGAACACTATATACATAATAAATAAATCTTAAAAAAAGAGAGAGAAGGGGAAATAGATGAGTTCTCCTGGGTAAACTGGGGGCGGGCAGGGGAAGGAGATAGGGGATGGGAGCATGAGGGATTGTGATGGCTGAGTTGGGGGAAGGTCAGAGAGGGAGATCAACAAAAGAGATCTTGATGGAAGGGACCATTACAGGGTTAGGGAGAAACCTGGTGCCAGGGATAATACCAGGAACCCACAAGGATGACCCCAGCTAAGACTCCTGGCAATAGTGGAGAGGGTGCCTGAACCAGCCTTCTGTAGTCAGATTGGTGACTACCCTAATTGTCATCAGAGAGTCTTCATCCAGTAACTGATGGAAGCAGATACAGAGAGCCACAGCCAAGCACTGGGCTGAGCTCCAGGAGTCCAGCTGAAGAGAGGGAGAGGGATTTAAATAAGCAAGGGGGGTCAAGATCATGATGGGGAAACCCACAGAGATAGATGACCCAAGCTTGTGGGAGCTCATGGACTCTAGACTGACTGCTAGGGAGCCTGCATGGGACCACCTAGACACTCTGCATGTGGGTGACAGTTGTGTAGTTTGGTCTGTTTGTGGGGACCCTAGCAAGGGGACCAGGATCTGTCCTTGGCACATGAGCTGGCTTTTTGGAATCTATTCCCTATGATGGGGTGCCTCACTCAGCCTTGATGCAGCGGGGAGGAACTTAGTCCTGCCTCAACTTGATATGCCATGCGATGTTGACTCCCATGGGAGGCCTTACCCTTTCAGAGGTGTGGATGGGAAGATGGGTAGAAAGGAGGTGGGAGGAGAGGAAAGAGAGAAAACTGTGGTTGGTATGTAAATTAAATTTTAAAAACTTAATAAAAAAACAGTGGCCTGGGACTTACACAGGTCTCCAAAGAAGATACATAAATGACTAGCAAGCACTGGCAGTGTGGTCAACTTCACTGATGCACAGAGAAACTCAAGTTAAACCCCAAGGAGACATCACCCCATTATGACAGTGGGTGTCTTCCCTCTCCCTGTCTCTCTTTCCCACTCCCCTCCCACACATGCAGTAACACAGATGCATAAGAAGTGTTGGACCCCGGACTGCCGGTAAGACTGTAAAGCGGTGGATCTGTCAGAGAAAACACTATGGTCCTTGTCAAATTAAGCACAAGTTACAATTTGATCCAGAAATTCTACTCGGAATGTAATATTTTCAAATAAAAGCAGGGGTCGATGGTATATATTGAAACATCACTGTTTACAGAAAGTCAGATTGAAAATAATACAAGTATCTTTGCATAGTATACAGAATGTAATACATCTGCACTGAGTAATACTGAACTGTTATTAAAAGAGTGGGATTTTGGTTAAGTATAGATGAGCTTTGAAAATATATTGAATGAAATTAGCCGGTTACAAAGGACAAGGAGTATATGTGTCCAGTTACTCTGTTGGGTTTGAGGGGGACTTACATAAAGGGGGACTTAAAGAAGTATAAAGATTCGGTGTGGGATGATTGAAATGCCCTGGGGAGTGGTCGTGGTTGTGGCCCTACACAGAGTGAATGCATTTCAATGCTGTTGAGCTTTACTCTTCCAAGTGGTTTAAAACACTAAATCTCCTTGTATGGACTAAGCTGGCCGTGAACTCACCGAGATCCACTGGTCTCTGCCTCCCAAGGGCTGGGATTAAAGGTGTACGTTATCATCCCAAGTATTAGTACATCTTAAAATTTTACAGTTGAGCTGAACTACCCTGGAAGTCCTCTCTGAGGACTAACTAGTACTGAAACCCTAGGCAAGCTGCCTCAGGAGAAAAGCAGTCAATGGTCCTGTCCAGCTTAGCACTTATAAACAAGCAGAATGGCAAGATATCTTGAAAGATACAACAGTGGTATTTAAATCCTGGGAACAGCCATTTAGTTGGACTTAAGGCTTGCTCGGTAAGGAACTGATGCTTGGCTCTGTAAACCTAGCTTACAACCTGTGGGTGATGAGCTATGGACCCTAGAAGAGGACCTGCTACTACCATCTCACAAACACAATATAATTTCTAACTGCATTCTAAATATTTATCTTTATACTTGCCCATAAATGTTACTCATCATCAAAGAAGATGTTTGCTGTAGATAGAGATCATTACAGGGATCCACAAAGTGGTCAAAATGCAGAGAACTAACTGTGGTGACCAGCCCCAAATGATACATCAACGACCCAACTCATTCACATAAGGCTCAGGGAAAATGGAGGAAGAATGGGAGGAAAGAACCAGAGGTCCAGAATGGGACATCTGCCGTGAGACAGTGTCTTTATAATGTGACAGGGAAGCTGTGCCTGAGAAACCTTGACAATATGGCTGCCTAGACAAGACCTTACAAATGACACTACCAGTTAACGTGATAGTGTGGATGGGGGAAGTCTTAAAAAACTTCACTTCTAGAAGAGATACAGGCAGTTATTGGTGGCTGAGAGAGAGAATCAGTGTTCTCCAGGGATAAGCGCCCTCTGATAGGCTAAGAAGTAGCCCTAAGCATATATGAGCAACACAAAATGACCTCAGCAGGTTGTGTTTAGAAGTATGTGTATGTGTATATGTATGTGTGTATAGATACATATCTATACACATATACATATATGTATATATATACATACTTACATATCCATACACACACACACACAAAATATATGAAATAAAAAAAAAATCCTCAAATTCCCAAATTTTAAAAAACATCCAAAAAGAGAAAAGAAAATCCCAACTGCTCAAAGGGAAAATGCAGCGGTGAGCTGCAGCAGGGACAGAGTCTTCGATAGCCCTGCCTGTGAGTCTGAGCGACTTACTGTAGGGTCGCCGCATCTGAGTCGGGAAAGCGTCAAGGGAAGCCATCAGCGGTTGTCAGATCAACAATGGGGGAAGGGAGAGCTGAACTTGGGAACGGGAGGGCTGAACTTGGGAACGGGAGGGCTGCTGGACGGAGACTCGGTGACCTGGAATGGTGGATACACAACAAGCAATTTGTCAAAAATGCAGAAAACCATACAAAGGAACTCGAACCTTTGGGCTTGAGCTAACTCGAAAGCATCAGTGTGCCTTGCTGGGGCAAAGCATTTACTAAAGGAGCTGAGAGGGGGCGGGTGGAAACTACTCAGATTTCTTGAGCAAGCCTCTACTTAATATGGAGTCACAGCCTGCCAAACCTTCTAGAGGCTGAGAATATTCATGAGTCAAAATGCATTTAACACACACCCAACAAAACGTCGGGGTTCAGCCACACAGCCAATGGAGCCCGTGGCTGTCCAGATCATGGGCTGCGTGGAATCATGGGATAGTTTGCTGCCGACGGCCAGAACCCAATCTCTTACTGCATAATTTGAGTTTGTGGAAAGATGAAAAGTCCAGTTTCTACTGGATGAGTACCAGCTTCACTAAGGCGGCAAAGCTGCCTGTGAGACCACCTCTGAGTAAAACTCTAAGTTGGGGGCTGCTTCTTAATCGGAAGTCTTCTAAAGCAGTTTTAGTTGAACATGTGAGGGTCACTTTGTCTACTTACCTCAAACCCTGACACTCCTGATTTGTTAACTAATGACGAATGAGTGGAGAGTTACGAGACACTGCACTCATAGGGCCTATGCTGGATGATGCTGTTTGGAAAAGCCTGCAGGCAGGGGTTAGGGGTTAGGGGCCAGGGGTCAGCTGTATCTCAGCTGTGCTTTAACAGTCACCAGCTCTGGACCTCTGCAAGAAGGTCCTAGAAGTTGCTGTGGCCTCTTGTCCACTGTGCTTTGTTGTGCCCAGATCGTAACCCCCAGAGAGACCACCAAAGACGAGCATGCCGGAATGCAAAAGCAAGGTTCAATTCTGCATATACAAGCCTAGGCAGGGACTTCGTCCAATACATCCAACGCAGTGGAGGCTGGAGGAAGTGCCCACCTATCTGCAAGCTCAGTTTTTAAAGGGAAAAAAAAAATCACAAGGTACGGGTACAATTCTGATTGGCTTGCTTCTAGGGACTTCTAGAAATTACTTCTAAGGGAGTGGTTGCCTGCCACCATTTCTCATTGGCTGCTCTCAGGTGGGGGCATTTCTGTGGTCAGTTACCCTGGAAACCAGGGAGAGGACATTACATAGTGCGGCAGGCATTACCTCGTGACTATCTTGTGACTCTGTACTTTTACACTTCCTGGTTTCTGGAATCTGAACTGACTTGTTTTAGTAACTATTGGCCTATTCCTAGAAGGAGAAATCTTAGGCCTTAGTTTTTGGGTGAAAGCATTTTGGTCTTATTTCTAAGATGGCTCATTTTGGTCTCACAGCTTCAGTGTAACCTCAACAGGAAAAAAAAAAAAATGTTCTGGCCTGACCAATTAATGTTGCCTCTTCCTCCAAAGAGATGAAATTTGCTTTCTGCAAAATATGCACCAAAAATTACAGGTCAGGTGATGAAAACAGGTCTGGAACTTGGTAAAAAGTTCTGGATCGTTTATGTCAACTTGACACAAGCTAGAATCATTTGAGATGGAGGGAACCTCAAATGAGCAAATGCCTCCCTAAGATCTGGCTGTCCGCAGGCCTGCAAGGAATTTTCTTAATTAGTGGTTGATGGGAGAGGGCCCAACCCACTGTGGGTGGGGACATCCCTGAGCTGGTGATCCTGGGTGTGGACAGGAAGTCTCAGGTTCTATAAGAAAGTATGGTGAACAAGCCACAGGAGCAAGCCAGTAAGCAGCACTCCCTCAGGGCCTCTGTCAGCTCCTGCCTCCAGGTTTGAGTTCCTGCTCTGGCTTCCCTCAGTGGACTGTGGTCCAGGATATGGAAGCCAAATAAACTTTTCCTCCCCAAGTTCCTTTTGGTCATAGTGTTTCATCACAGTGCATACATCTGGTAACCCTAAGACCTGTATTGACAGCAATCCTAAATTTCTTCTGGTATAGCTCTTCCGCCTGTATTTGCATACAGCCTGATCTTCTGGAGGCGTTTTCTCAACCGAGATTCCCTCCTCTCAGATTCTAGCTTGGGTATCCAGGTAGCTGATAGGTCTCAGACCCGAGACAAATAGCTAACTGAGGTGCCTATCTATCCTATCTAAGCAGTCCTGGCTGCCAGGTTCTCCCAGCATCCCTCAGTCCCTACCTGTTACAAGGTAGGGCTGGTATACCCTGCCCCCTACACTAGACTTCTCCAGGGGCTGGGCTGCCCTTTCCAGCCATTTTGGTTACCCAGCCTTTTTGTCTGTGGGTCTACCCTTTCCCTTCCTGGCCTCTTGGTCTGGCTCTCCCCTTGCCCTTCTCCTCACATGGCCTGACTCCTGGGGTCATGTTCACTCTGGACTCTCAGATGTCTGCCTCTGGCTAACGCTTTCCCTTTCATCTACAATAAACTTCCTCCTCCACCATACCTATGAGCAGTCCTATCCTTCCTCTTTTCTTTTTCTTTTTTTTTTTTTACATTCAGTAGCCAACAGTGAAGTGAGGTGTTTTATTTGTTTTATTTTGATTTTTGGTTTTTTGAGACAGGGTTTCTCTGTGTAACAGTCCTGACTGTCCTGGAACTCATTCTGTAGACCAGGCTGGCCTCAAACTCAGAGATCCCCGCCCCACCCAGTGCTAGGATTAAAGGCGGGCGGCGGGCACCACCGCCGCCGCCACCACCACCCAGCTGGTGAGGTGTTTTATAACTCAGTGCTTCTTTGACTAAACAAATTTTCATCCTTTTCTTTCTTCAGACATTGCTCAGGATTTTGGCCCTGTTTGATGGTCCCGTCAGTGCTAGAGGGATTGTGTTGGGCCACCACACCTTGCAGGGAGTGTTACTTCCCCTCCCCTAAACAGGCTGCCTTGGATAGGACTGTTAGCAAGCCTTCTGTCTAACGAGGGGAGAATTAAGACGTTACCTTCTCTCGGGGTACGGTTCACTTCCTGCCTGTGTGAGGTGACGGAAATAATGCCCTTCACTGGGTGTGTCTTCAGTGATCTCTGTGACCTGTGGAAAGTAAGGTTGTACATGTGCACTCGGTTTTCTGCATACACACATACACACACACACACACACACACACACACACACACACACACACACACACACCCTCTTACCTGCATGTATAAACCCGCAGCTTCTGCTTGTGGCAGGCGGCTTGAGGTGAACTTACCTCGGACATCCACACCCGCAGCAGCTGCCCTGCGGCACCTGCGCACAGTCGCATCCCCACGCTACTCTCAAGTGCTCGCCTCTGCCTTCCCACACTCTCTCTGCTGCCTCAAGTTCTAACAAGCTTAATGATGGAATATTCACAATTACAAAGGGCTGGTTAGGGCAAGAGGGCCAGAGCGAGTCGCCGATAGCAAGGACAGCAGCGGACACCAACCATGGTAGAAGCAGCAAACACGAGGATGGGAGAATCCTGGGGACAAAGCTGCTCTGGCCAGCAATCCCCAGGGACCTGTGGAAGGCCACGTGCAATAGGGAACACGGGCTTGGAGGCCAGCATCAGGGCCCAGCCATGCAAGGAGCAGAAATGACTCCGTAATAGTGCCCTGTGACCTCTGCACACCCCACTCTTACACATGAAAGAAAGAAAAGCACAGGTTTGGAAGCCAGACACATCCGGGCTTTAAATTCTTGCTCTACTATTGTCTAGATGCAAAAGCTTGACCTCTGAGCCTCCATTTTCCTCTGGATAGAAAGGGCCACTTACTTCAGGCTCTCAGAAGTTGTCACATCTGAAACAGACACAGTGGCAGGCCCACACAGGCACAGTGACTAAGTCATGGGCATCAGGAACATGAACAACGTGATATAGGGACTTGAAGCTGTGAGTTTTCTAACTGAACTAGTAAGGAGGGTTGCCGAGAGGTCTGGATCCCAGAATACACCTGTTCTAGTCCCTGATGAATCAAGGCTTTAGGGATGGTGTCTTTCATCACTAGGGTTGAATATGTCCTCTGACCTTTATAATTTTCACAACACAGGTCTGAGCTAAGGCTGTTGAGCATGTCCTAGTGTCTGTAATGGGCTCATCTCAGAGTCTGGCTTTATCTCACCACACAGACCTCATCTCCTTTGCTATGTTATGGCCTTAGATACCAACATTGCTCGGCCTTGGAGAAGCGCCTGGTCAGATAAACTAATTTTGTAAACTAAGCCTGATACCCATCCTATCTTGGCTTTTGATTGTTATGGTCTTAGTGTCTTTTTTCCTCCATTAAAAAAAAAAACACTCATTTTGGGCTGGAGAGATGGCTCAGTGGTTAAGAGCACTGGCTGCTCTGCCAGAGGACCCAGGTTCAATTCCCAGCACCCACATGGCAGCTCACAATTGTCTGTAACTCCAGTTCCAGAGGATCTAATGCTCTCACACAGACATACATGCAGGCAAAAAAATCAATGCACATAAAATAAAAATAAATGAATCTTTTTTTAAAACCCTCGTTTTATCCAGGCATGGCGGCTCACACCTGTAATACCAGGACTTGGGAGGTGGCAGCTTTAGGATTATTTAAGTTTGAGGCAGGCTCGAGCTACGTAGTTGAGTTCCAGGACACCCTGAGCTGTGGGGTGCAACTTAATCTCAAAGAGAGTAAACAAAAACCTAACTAATATGTCAAGAAAAAAGCAATTTGAATTTAAAACTCTCGCCAGTGTAGAGTGTATTTTATGTGTGGAAAGCCTGCAAGATCACTTCCTAGCCTTTTTATTATTTTTTAAATTGTGTGTATGTGGCACGGGACGGGCTCTGTATACATGAGGTCAGAAGTACAGGACCCTCCTGGAGTTACAGGTGGTTGTGAGCTGCTCAGCAGAGGTGCTGGTGGCTGACCTGTAAGAGCAGTATGCGCTCTTAAGCACAGAGCCATCTCTCCAGCCTCCTCCTCCTCTTACTAACGTGTCTTTGCAAATCGGAAAGGGATAAACATGTTTTATCTGTGCTTGGCTTGTAAAAGGCAAGCAGTAACCGAGTTTTACTTCTCTATCAACTACTCTGGGAACCATATCCAGAGGAGCGCTGGTGTGGATGGAGTGAGCGCTGGTGTGGATGGAGTGAGCGCTGGTGTGGATGGAGTGAGCGCTGGTGTGGATGGAGGGAGCGCTGGTGTGGATGGAGGGAGCGCTGGTGTGGATGGAGCACTGGTGTGGATGGAG